TCAGGCCTATCAGTTTCCTCGCCCATACTATGCCTGTTATTCCTTCGTGCATAGTATACTCATGTGTAATACACAAATATATATTACAGGAGTACCATTGTCCTCGGCCTCTTCTGTCGTCATTGCAGCTGCCGCCGCTACCGCCGCCCGCCGCTTCTCTCCATGCTTCGCGTGACATCGAGCAGCTTCAAGAGGTGCGGCCAGGGGTTTGTTGCACCAACAGCGGAAGCAGACTGGGCCTGCGCACCACCGCCGCCGCCTGCCGGTGGTTGGCAGGTTGACTTGTTAATACAGCTGGGTCATACTTCAGAGGCCATGTACAGATGCATTAATTGTCGTTGGCCTTCAAAATATCTTCTTCATGCTCTCGGTCTTTGTCTCTATCATTCTCAGGTCCCAATTTAAGGCGTACACTACAGAGGCTGATGGAGAAGCTCGGCAGCGCCACGATGTGCACAAGATTGTGACAAATCCACTCAAGTCAGGTAGTATTGGATCTAAAGCTGGGTAATTAACCCGGAAGGACACCGACACTTGTCCAGACTACCGGGTATGGATTGCCCTCAGACATTAGTCAGTTTTCGTTGGCCGGTATGGACGATTCCTCAGAGCTCCCGGCCTACCGGCCGGGTTTGGGTACGGATTTTCCCTCCGCGTGAGGGGTCCCGATGGCCGTTTTGGGTACGGATTGTCCTCAGGCCCTCCCACCAATTGTCATGGGTCCTACCTCTCCACGTGTGTGTACTCACGGTTTTCGCGTAGGGACAACAATTTCTCATGACTATATGGTCCGAGGCAGTCACGGGCCAGCCTGTAATGACTTTCTGATCCAGCTGACTCTGACTTCATACTATTTTAACATTCTTATTGGATGCCGTGCCCGCCGTCTGACTATCCTTTCTGGAATGCTGTCAGCGGAGTCACGGTGTACATCTATGGGCAGCTTTGCAGGACTGCGTTGCATCTAGATGCTGTGACATTGACCTGGAAGGCCACCCTACTCCACTAGTGCGATCAGGTCTTAACAAGGGTGGGAAAAGATTCCAGCAGCTCGTGGAGGCCAGAGGTGGGCTGATATCATAGTGGCTTTGTTCGCACACAGATGTCGCTTTTGTATCCCTTTCCCCAGCTCTGACACGTCGGATAAAGACGATGAGCCGGCAGTTCCTGCACTCAGTGGACATCCTGCTAGGTGCTTCAGCGCTGGTGATCCTCTACAAGCTGTACACCCGCCTAGTGAAGTCAGTGCACCTCCCGTACCCACCCGGCCCGCCCGGATACCCACTCATCGGCCATGTCAAGACTCCCGAAGAGCCAGGCTGGTCGGTCTATCGCGACTGGAGCCAACAGTATGGTGCGCCGAACGAATTGCTTGGTAGCTAGGAAGAGGACGGCTGACATATGCGCTCTGTAGGCTCGGATGTCATACATCTCAACTTAGTGGGCACGCACCTCATTGTCTTGAACAGCTTGCAGTCGTGTACGGACTTGCTGGAGAAACGGTCAAACATCTACTCCGACAGGCAAGTCACATTCGCCTCCTTCCTTATCATCGTTATACACTACTGACCTACAAGTCGGTGGCAGGCCTACGTCGGGCATCACCATGCTTTCTGAGCTGCAAGTTTCCATGCACCCCGTTGTATTTTGGAGCTGATCATGTATTACAGATGCGGGCTTAGCTGGAGCTTCGGACTGCAGTGCTATGGTCCCGAATGGCGCGACGGCCGCAAGGCGTTCCAAACGCAGTTCCACGCGGGTGTAGTGCAGAAGTACCGCCCGGCGCTCTCGCGCGAGATATACCGCTTCCTGCGCCGGCTGTGCGCAAACCCCGCAGAGTGGGCACATCTTCTCAATTTGTACGTATACAATTTTTCTCGGGTCGGGACGTCGAGTCTAACGCACTGGTGCAGGATGGCAGGAGGTTTGATAATGTCTATCGGATATGCGATTGACGTCCAGGAGAAAAACGACCCACTCCTGGCAGCGGAAGAGCATGCCGCCGAGTGTGTGAAAAAGACCTTGGTTCCTGGTGCCTACCTCGTTGATATCCTTCCATTTTGTATGTCCCGCCCCCACCTTTCCAGCATCTCCCCGTCGCACTAACATGGCCTCAGTAAAATACATGCCAGAGTGGCTTCCAGGCGCAGGGTTTCAGCGGGAAGCGAAAGCGTGGCGAAAGTCCATGCTGCAAGTATTGCATGCACCGTACGACGTCGTAAAGGAGCGCATGGTGAGCTTTCTGTGCCTTTCGCCTGCCTGAATCGTAGAGATATATTATATGATCAGGCAAGAGATCCAGCGGCGACGCCCGACTGCGTCACGAAGTCCTTGATGGAGAAGATGGTCGATACTGCGAAGGACCCTGCCTACATGGAACGAGTTGCCAAATCAGCAGTCGGCTCGATGTACCTTGGTATGCCCTTTCTCAGGCTGCGTTGTCATCAAACTTTGACGTGACGTGGTCTAGCCGGCTCCGACACAGTCTGTTCTTCTTGCGCATATATCTGCATTCATCCGCTTATAGTTTTGGACTTCAGACGCTCTCGATTATTATGTCCTGCATCCTTGCAATGGTGCTCCACCCCGATGTTCAGCGTCGCGCACAAGAGTCTATCGACAGGGTTTGCCAGGGTCGGCTTCCTGACTACTCAGACTACGATGCCCTGCCGTATGTACATGCGTTCGTGCGAGAAGGCCTGCGGTGGAACCCGGTGGTTGCCTTGAGTACGTCCCTTTTACTGTCCATCGCGACATAAAGCTCATGAAATATCAAAGATCTTCCACACAGATGCACCACCGACGACATCTACAAAGAATACCTTATTCCCGAGGGTTCTATTGTTGTCGCCAACATTCGGTACGCAGTCCTCTTAGTGCCCTTGGGCATCTCCTCTCAAACAGCTTGTAGGGCCATCTTGCACGATCCTACAGTTTACCCTGATCCATCAATTTTCAACCCAGAGCGCTTCTTGCGCCGCACGCTCGACGACGAGCTCGAGCTAGACCCCAACGTGTTAGACCCGGCACAAGCCGCCTTTGGCTTCGGACGACGAATCTGTCCAGGACGTCTCATGGCGTACCAGTCCATATGGCTCGCGCTCGCGAATCTTTTGGCTGCGTTCCGCATTGAGTGCGCAAAGGACGAGAGCGGGGAGCCGATTGTCCCGAGCGGAGAGTACGACTGGGGTTTCTCAAAGTAAGTACCTTTTTCTCAGATAGCCTAAAGCGAGAGAGAATGCTGACGCTGCGTGTGTCGCTGCCAAAGCCACCCAAAGCCGTTCAAGTGCGCGATACGCCCGCGCTCGAAAGAACACGAGCTGCTCGTCGTGCGGGCTGCTAAGGCCAGCGAAGAGTGAGGGTCTCCGGAGGCGATATTTGGGAGATGTCGTGTGAGCCGGAGAGTATATCGCCGCCCTAGAGGCTAGCTTATCACCGGAAGCCTAATGGTTACCGACAACATTGCATAAAAAGTGTGCCGGCTGTGGAACGAGAAATATGGTGCATGCCCGCCATCTCTGAACAATGCGTCACGCCCGACTTTGGCTGTCGGGAACGGCGCTTACTGCGTCGGGCAGACAAATATGTGCAAACAATAGCGATGCTGACCATTACCCAGATTCCTCTCCCGTCCGTTGCCATACAACTGCTTGTTCGTGTCTTGTCATAGTCATGTTGCGTTCTGAAGTGCTGCTGCGTTTCCTGTCGTCCCATCTCCCCTTCCCGCACAGATATCTCAGCCCCAACATGTGCTGGACACGAATGTCGTCATGACAAAAGTACTCGAAGACCGCCCAAGCTACAGAGCAACGGCGCTGCGAGATTTTTACACGTGAACGGCTCGCCCTACGCGCAACTATGGCTCTGATTATATGAAGCTGACTACGGCTTTGGCTAGTTGTGCTGGCGAGAGTTTGCTGATGCATCTTTTACTGTGGGCGCCCCTATCCGAGCAGAACACCACCGGGTTGCTTGATGACCACGCATTCTCGTGCAAACACGTCGTCTGCTCGTTCTGGCAGTGGCAAACGTAGGTGAGACTATCCAACCTATATGCAGTCAATCTTGTCTCTGAAAACGCTTGTAGCTAGCAGTTCTATGGCAGGTAGCCCGTTTGTCAACTATCTCAGCATGAGGCTGAAGCCAGTGTTCTGCTCTCCTACACTTCCGAATAGGTTCCGTCTATCGGCCTTCATGGGAAAATGTGGTGACTTTCCAGTCTCGTGTTAGCAGTTACAGCGGTGTTCCTCCTGATAGGCGTATTATAAGGTTTCGAGCCGCCTCCTTCTACACATGTTCACTCAAAGACTTTCGCACAGACATCGAGGTTTCTCATGGTTATGTGTGTGGGGCCGCTTTGTTGAGCCGTGAACCAGATGGCCATGAGCTTCAGGCCCAGGCTCGGCTGACCTCGACTTTGCACTCTGATTTAACGTTCTACAGTGCCGTACCTGCCGTATCTCCACGAGTGCAGGCGTATTCGCAGAACGCCTTACATAGGACCACGGCCGCTCTGCGGCACTGTACAATTACGCGATCTATGGCATCACTTTTCCAAAGATGACGGTGCTTCTTTATACCAAATTCCGGCAAATAGGAAGGAAAGAAGCTCGCAGGGATCTAGAGGCAGGTCTATAAAACAGCTCAATTCATCCACAATCTTACTTTCACGTACCTTTTCCCAGTTCTGGCACGTCAGATAGAAGCAATGAATCTACAAATGCTCAATTATCTGGACATTTTGCTATGCGCTTCGACACTGATCATTCTCTACAAGCTGTCCACCCGCCTGACAAAGCGGGCACCGTTCTCACACCCACCGGGTCCACCAGGATACCCGCTTATTGGGCACATCAAGATCCCTAAGGAGCCGAGTTGGGAGGTCTACCGCGACTGGAGTCATCAATATGGTGTGTTGACCAAGTCGCTTGATATTTGCGGAGGCTGGCTGAGACACGAACGCCTCGCAGGCTCGGACGTTATTCACCTTAACCTAGTCGGGACACACCTTGTCGTGCTCAACAGCCTCCAGGCATGCACAGACCTGCTAGAGAAGCGGTCGAGCATCTACTCCGACAGGTAAACCTTGAATGTCCCTTTCCATGGTGGCCCGTACACTACTCACTCACATCCTGGTGACAGGCCAACAGTAGGCCTGACCATGCTTTGCGAACTGTAAGTGGCTACTCGGCATATTCGAGTGTTGTGCTCACAACGCAGCGCAGGTGCGGACTCGGCTGGAGCTTTGGGTTGCAGCAGTACGGCCCCGAGTGGCGCGACGGTCGCAAAGCATTCCAGTCGCAATTGCACGCGGGTGCGATGCAGAGACATCGCCCCGCTCTGTTGCGTGAGATACACCGCTTCCTGCGTCGGCTATGCGCAGACCCGGCAGAGTGGACACACCACCTCCACCTGTGCGAACATTCTTTTTCCGAGTTGAGATTTCTCTGATGCGCGGTTGCAGGATGTCGGGCGGTCTCATCATGTCTGTCGCATATGCTATCGATGTTCAAGAGAAGGGCGACCCATATCTGGCGACAGGAGAGCACGCTATCGACTGCATGAGGAAGACATTAACCCCCGGCGCTTACCTCGTCGATATTCTTCCTTTCCGTACGCCTCATTTATCTCTCTAGATAACGAAGTGTTGACCCTATCGCAGTGAAATACGTACCGGAGTGGTTCCCGGGAGCAGGCTTCCAGCGCGAGGCAAAGGCATGGCGTAAGTCTATGATGCACGTATACCACGCACCATACGATGCTGTAAAGGAACGTATGGTGAGGCTTAGTTCCCCATACATCTATATGAGTGACATTACCAGATCATGCCAGGCCAAGGATCCAGCTGCAATACCGGAATGTGTCGTGAAGTCCTTGATAGAGAACATGGTCGACACTGCGGAAGATCCCGGATACATGGAGCGAGTCGCCAAATCGGTCGCTGGTGTAATGTATATTGGTGCGCTGTTTGTCTTGTCTGCGTCCTCGGTAGCTCTTGACACAGCCATCTAGCTGGTTCTGATACAGTTTGTCCTGCTCCCTGCACTTCTGCATTCGCTCGCTAACTATCGCCTTTGAAGACGCTGTCGATCATCATGTCCTGCATCCTTGCCATAGTGCTCTACCCTGATGTCCAACGACGCGCGCAAGAAACCATCGATGAAGTTTGCCAAGGCCGCCTCCCGGACTTTTCGGACTACAGCTCCCTCCCATACGTGCATGCGCTGGTGCGAGAGAGCCTGCGATGGAACCCGGTGGCCGCCCTGAGTGCGTTCTCATCTATTCTCTATGAACGTATACGGCTCACAAGGCGTCTAAGATCTACCGCATAGATGCATTGCCGACGATATCTACAGGGAATGCCTCATACCCGAAGGCTCCATTGTAGTCGCCAACATCCAGTACGTCATCACGCTCCTAGTTTCAAGCTGTACCCCTCAAGACAAATATCAGGGCAATCCTCCACGACCCCGCAGTATACCACCATCCAACGACATTCAACCCTGAGCGCTTCCTACACTGCACGCCCGACGGTGAGCTTACATTGGATCCAAACGTGCCCGACCCGTCCCACGTAGCTTTCGGGTTTGGTCGGCGAGTCTGCCCCGGGCGTTTCATGGCATACCAGTCCGCATGGCTCACGATAGCGAGCATTCTCGCTGCGTTCCGAATCGAGAACGCGAAAGACGAGCGTGGGGTGCCTATCGTGCCGAGTGGGGAATATGATTGGGGCTTCACGGTGTGCGTTCTTTCTTTCGGAGAGACTCTGAGAGAGAGATTTAATGATGTATTGCCTGCGCTATCTAGCCACCCGAAGCCTTTCAAGTGTGTTATACGCCCGCGCTCGAAGGAGCACGAGACGCTTGTCGTGGAAACTGCCAAAACCGGCGAGATATGAATGGCTTGGTGGGCGCCGTATTACGAGAGGGTCAGCGAGCGTGGCAAGGCACCGTGCATCTCTCCAGGTCTAATGCAGCGGCCCATTGTCGCGACACAGTGTACTCTTGTGCCTGGCGTACCTGCACAGCATGTCCTTCTGCCATATTGCTCTTCTACAATTCAAAAGTCGCGCCTGTTACGCATTGCAGCAAAGCGTGATGCAACTGGTTCCCGCGCAAATGACCAACCTGATAAGCGTACTATAAGGTTGGAATCACTTCCATGCATGTGCATACTCACAGCCTTTGCATAGTTTCTCATGACTATATGTGCCGAGGCACACGGGGACCAGCCGTGGGCCGGTTGATTATGATATTCTTGTCCAGGTGACCTCCGATACGCAGCATGTAATTTTTTCTGAAGCATTGTCAGCGGAGCTTACATGCATCTGGGACATTTTGTGGCGCTTTATCGCGGCGAAATTGACCCGGGAAGCCGCCCTGCTCCTGCAATCAGGTTCTGACGAGTGAAGAGGGAATGAACCCACAGGGAGCAGGAATGAGCCCATATAACGGCCTGACCCACTTGCAAATGTCACCTCTATATCTTTTTTCCAAGTCTTGACATATCCGATAGAGGCGACGATGAGCCTGCGAGTTCTGCACTCTGTGGACGTCCTGCTGTTTGCAGCAGCGGTGGTTATCCTTTACAAGCTGTACACCCGCTTGACAAAGCAGGCACAGTATCCGTACCCGCCAGGCCCGCCAGGGTATCCGATCATTGGACATGTCAAGGGCCCCGAGGAGCCAAGCTGGAAAGTTTATCGTGACTGGGGTCAGCAGTACGGTGCGCGGATCGGGTGATTTGGTAGCTTGAACAACGCGACTGACTTAACCATCCTGCAGGCTCCGACGTCGTCCACCTTAACATGGCAGGCATGAATCTCGTCGTGCTAAACAGCCTCCAGTCGTGCACAGATCTGCTGGATAAGCGATCGAGCATCTATCCGACAGGTATACTTCGCGTCCTTTATAATGTCTTTCCGCACTTACGGTCACACTGGCGGCAGACCCACGTCGGGCATCACGATGGTCTCCGAGCTGTAGGTGCCCATAC